GTGTTTCGTATGCTCGTCAATTATTGAAGTCAGAAAATCATGTTTCATAATGCTAACGTGCGCCCACACGACCTTTCACATTTGTGTTCATCACCATACGCTCCTCAGCACTTATCAAGATGACCTTTTTGACCAGTTTCCTCCCACCAGCACTCGTTAGACTTAGCCACCCCACTTGAATCACGGAGAGCGTCACCAGGAAAAGACTTTTTTTTTTTTGGTTGGGCTTTTTTCCCTTTTTTTGAGATTGGTTGAGTTCCTTCAAATAACGGTAATATATAATGAGTGGTAGTTAACAGGGACTTGCTGAGACGACCCAGATAGAGTATCCCAGAAGTTTTCTGGGGGGTTTCTGAATAGTCAAGCTCCAAGTTGATTCCTCTGATGAACTGCTAGGAACATCCAGAGCAAGGTAAGACAATTCTCTGAGAATTCATCAAGAATTCGAATTTCGCGTAAATTCTGAAACTCTCTTCTTGTGATGCATCATGGGTAGAAATGGGAACAAACGTGCTTCTTGTTTCGTCTTTTCATTTAGAATTTGGAATTCTGAAGTCTTGGCTTTGTTTTTTCGCCCCCTCTTTTTTGAGAATTCTGGGAATTCCCTGTTGGCTTGGGGGCGGCTCTGGGGAAACTTTTGTTTTAATTCGTTAAATCCTAATGTTCTGGGAAACGTCTATGCAGATCTTATGGTTTCTGAGTTTCTAGCTTCTGGTTTCTGGTTTTTCATCTATCAGTGCTTTTTTAAGGACTGGGGATATTTAGCAAATTCAGAATCTTGTTTGGTTGTAGCCATCAAGAAAGTTAAGTCTGTGGATGGATGCTTCTTTAATAGAATCAGAATTGGCAATGTGTTTTGTGGGTGGCTCATTTTAGTGCAATCTGAAATGAACTGCAGAAGACTTAGCTTATCAGGGGTGATTCATTGTGTATTTGAAGATATTGAAGAGGTGATAGTAGGACTTTTTCCCTCCAAAATGGGATTATTGTTTCTTGTGTTTCGGAAATGAGATTTTAAGAGAGAGAATTGGAAGAGATAATTCAAATATTGAGTTGCTAAAGGATTTGAACGTCCAAATTATTGAAATGATTAAATCTTTTGTCTGTAACCAAAAATCTTTTTTGCGATGTCCGTAAGAGGGAGGAATGGGTAAAGGAAGAAAACTGGAAAAGAAAGAGTAACCTGAGATTCTAAAATTAACAGGATAGTTCCCCCCCCCCCCCCCCCTCCAAAAGAAAATTCTTGCTTTTAAAAATCTTCCTTGATAATACTAAAGAAAAATTTCCAATCTCTAGAATCTGGGTTTGATTGTTAGTCTCATCCTTTTGCTCCGTTTCCTTTGCCATGGTGTCACCAAGCAAACAACATGCAAATGCCTCTCTCTCTCTCTCTCTCTCTCTCTATTCCTCAACAGGACGGTAAATAATCAGCTAGATTTCTTGTTTTATCTTTCTTTTGAAAGACATGATCTTCTGAATCCTCTATTTCCTCTTCAAGGCTCAGAAGTTATAGTCCATTGCTTTTAATCTATGGAGGAGTAGTCCTTTAGTGCAGGGAATGTGCCAACAGATTGACAATATTCTTCTATGCAAGTTCGTATGTGATACTTTCCATAGAACCTCGTGCAGTCAAAAAGAACTTGAAGGCTCTGCTTGACTGCAGAAGAGATTTGTGTTTTGGTCCTTTTTAAGCATTGTTAGACATGCTTTCTAACTCTTAACCTCTGTATAATAATCCATAAGAAGGACTATACTCTCACTAATCACCAATTACTAAACCATAATGTACCCATTCCTAAAGTCAGGCTATTTCGTTTCCATCACTGAAATTTCAGTTTCACCGTACTTGGGCCGAGGCAGAACGAAGAGATACTGGTTAAGTATGGATGAGTATGCTGATAAAGCTAAAGGTGGATTACATGTTGCGGAAGCAGCTTTTGACAAGCTCTACTCACTTGAAGAACCCTCCTTTAAGGAGCATGATGTGCAAGAACTGGATGTTTTTACGCAAGCTTTAACAGAAGTTGACTTTCGCTTAGCATATTCTTCTGAGAAGCTGATGAACTTGCATGTGCTTTTTATCTATCTGTTGAGACAGGAAAATGACCTTGAAGCGATGAATTTAAAGAATAACTGCATCTCAATAGACTTCATGGAAAAGGCATTTGCATTTGATCTTTTGTTAGGCATATTAGATTCTGAGGTAAGAGAGCTGGACAATTTCATGGACATTCTCCAAGCAGAAATTGTTGATGCTCGTCATAAAATACTTTCATGCAGAGATTTGAAAGAAGTTCCCTTCACAATGGAAGAAAAATTGCATGACTCTGAAGAGTCCGTGAAGGAGTTTCACCAGCAGCTGTTGGAATTGAAGATGCAGTCATCCAAGTTACAGAAAACCCTCGAGGCTTTCCAACATGAGAATTGTGAGTTGAAGGTTCTTAGTTATTTTTGTTCCTGATTTCTGCTTAATTAGTTCGATATAAAAATTGTTCCCTGGTCTCGGACAGCTATTTAACCCTTTGAGACATCCGTGTAAACAGGGGAAACAGGGAAGGCTATTAATTTGTCAGAAAATGGCCAACTATCCGGTGCAAAAACAGAATCAGATGATCAGATGGTTGAACAGCGAAGATATATTCTGCGGATGCTTGAGAGGTCTTTGGTAAGGGAGGTAGATCTTGAGAAGAAGTTAGCAGAATCAAGAGAACATGAAGATCTAAAATTGAAACTGCACCACACGGAACAATTATCAATGCGCATGGAAGAAGCTGCGGAATTTGTTTGGGGAAGATTTCTTGAGGCAGAAACTGCAGCTGAGATGCTCATGGGGATTTCTAAAGATATGATGGGGCGCCTCCAGATAGCCGAGCTTAACCTCAATGGTTCTGTTCAGCGAGAGAATGAGTTGAAATCAAAACTTCAAACTTGCATAGAAGAACTCAAGGATAAAGACTCTTCTTTAGAGAAGCTTGAGCGTATTAATGCTGAGCTCATGAAGGAAAATGCTGAAGTGCAATCTTTGAGGGAAAAGGTGAAAAATCTTGAAGAAGAACGAATAGAATTTGAACATCATCTATCTACTGCAACTGCTGAGAATGAAACTAATCAAGAGCATCTTATTGAAATGGAAAATTTTGTTGAGTCATTGAAAGAAAGCATTTATACAGCAGAAACTAGGGCTGAGAGTGCAGAAGCGAAGGTTACACAGTTAACTGAAACTAACGTCGAACTTACTGAAGAGCTGAATTTTCTTAAAGGTAGTGCTAGTACGGCAGAAAAAAAGGTGGGTTTACTTGAAAACCAGCTGAGGGAATCAGAGATTCAACTACAAAATGCAAAAGCATCGTCTGAAGCTAGTCAAGAACAGCAGAACATGTTATATTCAGCTATATGGGATATGGAATTGTTAATTGAAGAGCTAAGATCAAAGCTATCGAAGGCGGAAAGTACAACAGAAAGTGCAGAAGAGCAATGCATTGTGTTATCAGAAGCTAATGAAGAACTAAATAAAGAATTGGATCTCCTGAGATCTAGAATGAAAAGCTTGGAAACATCTCTGGACCAAGCTAACAACTCAAAAATTTCAAGTGCAAAAGAAATCAATGTTAGAACTAAGTTTATCATGGACATGGTCATGCAACTAACCATTGAAAGGGAACATGTCCATCAACAGGTAATGGCGTACTTCCTATAATTTCTTGGGCAATTTAACGTCTGGTTTGTATTATGTTTTACATAAACATTGCCATAAAAAATTATGATTGAGCAAATTCATAGTAAATCATGAATATTGGAACTTATTGCTACTACTTGCCCCAGTGACTTTATTCTGAATGAAGGAATAAGAAAAGGAATTTGTGCATTTCCTTGGGAGACAGGATCCTAAAGTAAAATCACTGTAAATTTCATTGCATTGGTAGATTTATTTTATGATGTAAACTTAGGTATGGTTATTCATCTATGGCCCATAATGTGGGAAATCTAACTGGACTTTTATTGGGGGGCTGTATGTGCTTCATGCAGTTATGTGCTTTAAAAATTGAGAACAGAAGTTTGGAAGAAAAGCTGAAGAATGTTAAAAGGGATGTCCCTCTAGATTCCTGCCACAATGGATTAAATAATAGCAGTGAAGATCAAGCTTCTAACATTGACTCTAGCAATGGTAGCTGTACGAAATCTGCTGATGAAGAAGGAGAAGATATTTTAAATCAAATTTTCCAGGTACTTTTTTTACGCATTTCGGCCTGACATGTTTATGCGGTCCCGTTCTGGACCCTGCTCTGGCTTTTATTAAATTACAATTACCATTATTTAAATTTATCATGATTGTCTTATACTTACCTGAATTCACCAATGCTTAACTTATCAATATCTTATCTATTCTTCCCTCATCTTTTAAAAGCCTTTTTTTTGGGTTTCGATAATCAGGGGGGTGAGCCATCCGAAGATGCAAGCTCTGAAAGTAAAGTAGAATGTTCCGTTCCATCACAGAAGTCTGGAAAATTTAGCAGCTCAACATTTTTTTCAATGGCAATCATTGTGCCACTGGTTTCTTTTTTAGCCATCCTCTTGTTTGATAAGGAAACCTTTCACTTTCTGAGAACATTTGATGGTTAAGTCATGACTTATGACTTAATCATTGAAGAAATCTGCTGCTTGTGCTTTTGTGAAGTCCTTTCACTTCTGTATTGTATTGTATATTCATATAATTATGTAGCCTTAGAATTGGAGTAATCCATTGTTGCAATTGAATTGTACATATCAAGAGTCTGCATTTTTTCAATTTTCAAATAATGTAAGAAAGTCATCCAAAGAATTGGAAAGATGGAAGCTTGTCCCTGCATAAGATTGTCGGTGTTGATCTTAATTTTCGTTTCATATACAAAAGAACTTTAACGCTATGTTTGGTACGGGATTTTTGGAGGGGAGGGGAGGGGAGTTGCTCCCCTCCCCTTGTTTGGCTGGTGTAATTTTTTAGGAGGGGAGGGGAGCCCCTCCCCTTCCCTCGTTTGGTTAAGATGTTTTTTAAAGAGGGGAGGGATTCTTCTCCCCTCCTCTTCCCTTCTAGCCTCCCCTCCAAAAGTGGGGTTTTTTGGAGGGGAGATGAGAGATAATATTTTAATTCCTTATATACCCTTTTGATTTGTTAACCTCTAATCAGGCATAAACATTTCTACATAAGAGAGTTTTTTTGAGCATCTAACAAGAGGTTATTAAGATAATTGTCTCCAAAATTAGTGAGCATTTGTAAACTTTTTTTTTCTCTTCTTCTAATTCCAAGAGGTTGTTGATATTTTTTTTCACCTTCAAGGTCTTTTCTCTGATTGAAATCTATCACTCGTGACTTTTTATCTTGATATTCTATAACTGTGTGACTATGTCTTGTAAATCAAAATTGGTGAATTGTATTATATATATAGTTATATCTTAACAAAATAAAAAAGTGAGAAAATTCATTTAAATTTTATGAGGTTAAAATAGTCAATTTTTTATTAGAAAAAATAAGGTATTATTAAAATTGCTCCCTCCCCTCCCCTCCAATCAATCCAAACAGGAGATCATTAAAATCTCTCCCCTCCCTTCCTCCTCCCTCCCCTTCCCTTTGTAGCTACCCACCCCTTTCCTCCCCTCCCCTTCCCTTAATTAAAATCCCTTCCTTCCCCTTCCCTCCATCGAGCCAAACACAGCGTAAAAGTTCTTGGATGAACCACATGTGCCACGTAAATCATGGTCTGACGGATACAAAAATGACAAATGCAGCTTATGGGTCTCACTACTGTTCTCTTCTTTTTGCTTATGTATCCCGCTCTCCTTCTCCCCCTCAACTCTCTCTCTCCTTTTAAAAATTACATGTTTAATAAAATTTTATTATTCATAAAATTTCTTATGAAACTGAAAAAACAGAGAAGCATTGCGCATCCGGGGAATCGAACCCCGGTCAGTACCGTGGGAGGGTACTATGATACCACTACACCAGATGCGCGGTTTTGAAAGGCAAAGCATGCTTTAATGATGCTAGCTCTTACGGATTGAGATTGTTGGCCAAGTGCTATTTACTAAGATATATAATTATTTCAAATAAAATTGTTACCGACAGAGAAAGCGGCTCATCTGGTGTAGCGGCATTCGATTCCCCGGGCGCGCGGGGTCCGTGTTTTATCTTACTTCCCACCCACTGCCCCTTTTTAATCACAATTTATCCTGTAAATGTAATACTACAAATTCCATTTGTTTTCCCCCATGACCTTTTTCTCACACTTCTGTTAACTTCTCGGCCTCTACAAATTAAATTGATCCTCATTTTTTGAATTTTAAACATATAGCTATATCTCTAGCATGAGATATTTCATTCGAAACTTAACCTAGCATATGTGATTCAAGTTATAGTTACTCGAAATCCAATGTAACTTCATATATTGTTAGGTGATTTGCTATTCAAAAAAAAAAAAAACCAATAGAAAGTGAAAGTAGAAAAATTGCGTAGTCTTTAAGTCATTAATAATCAACCATGTTATCCCATTTTTCACAATGCCTTCTCTTTTTACGTTTTTTTCCCTGGGAGGAAAAGCAAGTCAAGTAAAAAGGAACAAAAGAGTAAAGATAAATGATGTGGTGGGCTACACTGTATGACCTCTTTGTCTTTCGGTAAGTTTCAAAGCAATTTCTCAGGGCACTGATTTGTCTTGGTTTACTTGAGCACTACTTCTGGAATCATAATTCATAAGTCATCAATTGGCGTATTAAAGAAATACACGTACAGTATTGAGTAAACATGTTATTTCTCCAGTTTAATTTCCTTTTTTTTAAAAAAAAAAAACACTTTCCCGTGTGCCAAACATTACCTGATGAACATTGTAGTCCTTTTTTGGGGAGAGGGGGGGGATCCTTTTCGCTTTCTTAGGAGTCACGCTTCATTAATTTGTCCAATTTCCATGATACCAAACACGGCATTGAAGTAACCCTTTGTCCTTGCTATACCTTATCTTTTTCGTTTTCATAATTCTCAAAGATAAAGGAAGTTAAACGGAAAAGGGAGGAGGTATTCTTGTGACTGTGATGCACTAATTGGCAATTGTTAACGCTGTTTATTCCTCTAGTCAAGGATATATATATATTCCCCATTATACATACTTCACCTTTTGGTTCCCACTTCACTATTAGACATGTTTCCAAGAAAATGACTTGCCCTAACTAATGATAAATTCGTAGAACCTTAATTAATCTCGTTGTCTCTCATGATCTTAATGACATCCAAAGAAAAAGATCTTTCATTGGACTCCTTTGGTCTCAATTAATTCCCATAAACACAATCTCAGTGTGTGTTTTTTGGGGTCTGCTTCACAGCTTTAATGCTAGCAGGTTCTCTTTATCAATAGTCTCCTAAGTATTTCCAAAGCAATTTCAAGTTACTTGATTCAATGCCTGAGTTAATTTTAATCATGACGGGGTGTTGGTACCATAATTCCTGAAAACGAGAAAAACAAAGAATTTGTGTTGGTACCATAATTCCTGAAAACGAGAAAAACAAAGAATTCTAACAGTACTGCTTAACAAAACCTAATCTTCATCCTGAAGTATTTTAGTACTCTCTCCATTCCTTATTATAAGAGACGAATAACCGAATTATGTTGATAAAAAAAACAGTTAAAATTAGTTAAGAACAATCAATGTGTAAAAAGTATAATTTTTTTTCTAAAAATACCCACATTAATAAGGAGAGAGAGCATGAGAGAGAACAATTAAATTATTAAATGAAAGAAAAGTGGGAGGGAGAGGAAGTGTGAGTTGGAGACAATAAATATGGGTAAACTAGGAAATCAACACAAAAAAGTAGAGACAACTTTTAAGTGTCTCTTATATATAGGAACATGCCATAAGCATCAAATGTCTCTTATAATAAGGAACAGAGGGAGTACATTACACAAAAGGCAATTAACTTGCCTGAGAGAATCAGAGAACTATACAATGTGCAGTACTTGAGAGAGAGAGAGAGAGAGAGAGAGAGAGAGAGAGAGGAAGATCTCCCTTTATCTCAAAAAAGGTTGTAGGATACAAATTTCATATTTTCATGGTCATGTGATCCTAAATGGTGCATTGGCTACTTATAATAGTCAAAACTGACTATATTTTCCTTTTGCTGCTGAAAGCTAGAGAATAGCTGTCTCATATGGTGGTAAATTTGTTGTCCAGCTCTGGTTCTATACTGCACAATATATGAGAATCTTCAAGCTGCATATAGAACTGTGTCAAGCAGTAATGAGACCCTAACTGGTCTGAAATTCTAAGAGACATGAAGAAAATTGGGTTTGCAAAAGGACTAAACACGTGTTCTGGAAAAATATCCCATGACATATGTAGCATCATTAGTGTAAAGAGAAAGGCTTTTATATGTACTAAACGAGTAAATAGATGGCCATGTTTGACGAATTTATACCATAGTAACACAGAGATTAAGCAAAATATATGAGGAATTGTGTAACATTACCTTACATGACTTGCTTGTATCATGTGATCCAAACGGGCCAGCATTGTAGGTGAATGGTCAATTGTCTTTGGACATGACTGAATCATCTCAAACAATTACTTTGTTGATTTGTGTCATACACAGATTTGATAGAGCTTTCCATTGGCTATCTAGGGCTAACACCACCCTCCTCCTTTATCCGGGCTTGGGACCGGCTATGAAACATAGGCGGAGTTTTGGTCATTGACCCTTTTACATCAATTCATAGATTTAGCCAACCTATGACCTCAATGACCACAGAAAAGCCTTGGTCATTACCAAAAAACCCATTGCAAAAGAGAGAAACCCAGTCTTCTCAACTATACCTGCAAGCGTTGGCTTTGAATAACTCAGGAAATACGCGGAGAGTGAAGCTGCAAAGGCAATAACCATCGCAGTTCCACAAAATGCACTTGTTTCTCTGAAGAATGACCCTGATGGAGAAGAAGATAGGGTCTGAAATAGAGTTAAAGTAGCCTGGAAGGTTAAGCTAATGAGTAGCTTCGAGGGGCTTGGGGAATTCTCTGAGTCAAATCTCATCTCCTCTATCTCAAAAGAACTCATATTCATATACAGAGGCAAGAGTTGCCCATCAGAATAATGGTTATGAGCCGATCTGAAGGGTCTCTCTTGATGATGGCGCTGGCATTGTCCAAGAATTACGAAGCATTCTGCAAAAGGAAAAAGAAGCCATGAAAAACCAGAGAAAGGAGGAGATCTTAGCTGCTTAAATCTGAAACTATCTTCTGGTAAACAGATTTAGGTTGTGCAGTTTTCTACTCCCCAACGAATATGATTATGACAGTTCTATATATAAAGCCAATGCAAGGAGGGATGAGATTAATCAAGAAGACTTCACTGTTTGCTTGACTGACTTTTCTTTCCTTCTTACACAGGTTTGGCATGTATCATACTTCCGAGAAACAGTCCAGCAATATTCTCTTTTAATTTCCTCTTTTTTTTTAAAAAAAATAGAAATGTTATTTCACTTCAATTTAACTTCCATTTTCATTGCATAATCTCCATTAATATGAATACAATTTTTTCAAAAAAGTGGGATGCAAGTGTTAATGTAATTTTTTTAAGAAAAAAAATGAAGGTACTCTACAAATTTTATATTCACAAAGTACCGGTACTCTGATTTAGGTTCTTCTCATCAATAAAATTTTTAATGAAGAACTTTTCTCTAATTTTTCTTAAAAAATGTTCAAGAGTTTTTCCCTTTTTGTTTTTCCCCTTGGGGGGAGAAAACCTTTGTCTTGCATACTACGCGTTTTCTTTTCCAATTTCATTCACTTTTTAGAGAGAGGAAAAGGAAAAGGAAGGGATGTTCGTACATGACTATGAGGATCTAATTAATAATTAACTGAGTTTAGGGGAGCTTAAGGATAACATGGGGAAAGCTCCAGCTAGCCCCACATGACCAAACTCCCTAGCAGAAAAGACTTATATAAATTTATATAAACTGAGATAAAATTCTCCTTATATATTTATCTTGTATTCTGTAAATCACGTTTAAAAAACTATTTATAATTCACTCCAAATGAGCCTTTAGTTTTCACACAAAAACCCTATTGAGCACGAGAAAAACCCAGTCTTCTCTAGCTACAAGCCTTGGCTTAGAATGACTTAGAAAATACCCAGAGAGTGAAGCTGCAAAGGCAATAACTATGGCAGCTCCAAACAAAGGAAGAGGATGTTGGGATGACCCAGATGGAGGAAAAAAACACATAATAGTCTGAAACAGAGTTAGAGCAGGTTGAAAGGTCAAGTCGATGAATAGTTTCCAAAGACTTGGGCAATTCTTAAGTCAAATCTTAAGTGTCTCTAGCTCAAAAGAACTCGCATTCGCTTATATAGAGGCAGGAAATGGTGGTTATTAGAATAATGGTTGTGAGCTGACATGAAGGATCTCCTTCTAGTGATGTAGTTAGGTGAGAAAGGTGCTACGAACGTCCAAGAATTACGAATCATTCTCCAAAAGGAACGCATAGAAATGAAAGAGAGGACATCTTGCCTGCTCAGTAAAACTCTGCAACTATCTTTTGGTGCCAATAAGAGGGTATTTGGGTAGGATCAAAACCATGATTTCATATGTGTTTTTACAGTATACGAAATAAATACATGAAGGAATTTGTCTCGATTTGTAAAAAAATACTTATTAGATTAACCAAACACCGCCTAAATCTCATTAGTGTGTTTTTTTTCTTCTTCTATTTTTTAATTATTATCAGGTACTTTTATATTGGAAATAATATTAACTGAGACATGATTAGATACTACATATAAATATTTTTTTAATAAAAAATTAAATATTAATTTATTATGTGATGAGAAACTAATTTTTTCCATTAAATCTGAATTTTAGCGCATTTTTTTGTTAAAGTCTAGGGAAGGAGGGATGAGCAATTAATGAAGAAGATCCAATTGGTTGGTTGACTGACTTCTCCGCATTACTCAGGTTTGGTATCACATCAGCCATGTTTGTATTGGTTTTAAATTCCCTTAAATTAAATGGCATACGGGAACATTATTAGAAAAGGCCGTACAAGTTTTTAGAGGACCCTACAGCTTATATAGAATCTCACTTTTCTACATAGGCTAAAAAAACAAAATGAAAATAACAGACACGGCATAAAAGTCTTTTTGGTTTTTGTTTTTATGAGAAAATGACATAAAAAGGTTTAGATTTGATTACAAAAATGCCACTATTTAACGGCATAAACGCCTGACGTAATGGGGGAAAGCAATGGTGTATAAGGACAGTCTCAGAGTGTATTTCAGCCTATGAGAAAATTAGAGGGGTGGTTGGATTTAAAATTTTTTTTAAATGAGATTATAAAATTTTGACAGAGAAAAAATATAAGATTAAAAAATAAAACAAAATTAGTTAAAAGTTTTTAACCCCATTTTGTTTTAAATTTTCCAGGTTAAACTCATTAAAAATTTTTCTCCCATTTTTTTCCCTTTATTTCTCCCGTAACAAACGGATTAGGAATCTTCTTCCCAATCACCACCTTTAATTCGAAGCAAATTCAGCCCTGATACAAATTATCAAACACTTTATGCACTTACATAAATGCTATTCTTAACTAAAATCATAATTTATCTATACGAAATGTCTCGGTTTTAAGAAAAGAAAATGTACCATAATTACCTTTATCTAAAGCATACAAGGGTAGTATTACTGATTAAAAAAAAAAAAAGAGGCAGGTTCAATTACAACAAATCATCATGAAAATAAACATGCAAGAGAACCAAAAAGAAGAATTTCACTGATCGCAACATAAATTTTGTATTAACTTGATCAAAACAATTCAAGCAAGAAATGCATAACCCAATTTTTATTGGATATGAATAGTTACATCACACCTTTTTTCTTTTTCTATGCTATGCGTGCATATGGCATCTTGAGCCAATCTTTAGTAACTCGAGAACTCAGGAGATATTTAGATAAAAACCAAACTATGATTTCAAACGTGTTTTTATGATTTACGAAATAAATATGTAAAAGAATGTTTCATTTTACGAGAAATACTTTTAAGGGTTACCAAACACCCTCTCAGTAAGCCCAAACTATTCCGAATCAAGGATGTGAGACCTTTTTAGATGGCAACTCTACTATTGAGATCTAACACTGCTAGACTTCTGATTCAGCTGAAACAATACTAGTCGATTCAAGTGTTCCGTGGTTGTATTCTTGTTAGCTTGTTTAGTACATGAAACAAAAACATAAAGACAATTAACTTGCCTCCCATAACTATATATCTTGCTTCGTAGTTTAGACAGACGATGATGTCTACCTTGTTCTCTCACTCTTATTTCTCTGTGAACTAATGCAGAATATCTCTGTCTTTAAGAAAGTTATAGGATATACCATTTTCATAGGTTCATGGTTGTGTGAACCTAAATGTTGCATTGGAGACTTGTCTGAACTGATTGTTTCCTTAAGATAATGCTTATCTCGGTAAAACATACAGCATTATCCAATCCAATTCAAACCAAATAAACTAAAGGATCCTCACTGGTAACACTTACCTGTAGTAGGAGAGAGTGAGTTATTCAGATTATAACGGCGTCATAGCACGGTCCAGTTCTTCTTCGATATACCCAGAGGACAATTTAAGAGGATCTCTATCAATTCCAGACAAAGAATACCAGATCCAACTCCACGTTACTTCTACTAGGAGGAGGAGATTCAAACAAAGCATACCTCAAAGCTCAAGCTGAAGAATAGGATTTCTTGCGCTGTGCACTATTTTTGAGTTGCGTAATGAGCAGCATTAGAGTCGCCTCTAACCAAGTTGCTTCTAAATTGTGCTCCCCAGTGCTGAGTTACTTCTAACCAAGCATTAAATACCCAGTTACTTCTACAAGGGGGAGGAGATCCAATTCCACTTCCCATTGCCGATGCTGCTGAATTGTGCTTCCCATTGCTGAGTGACATGATTGATCCCCCACAGCAGCCACAAATCCTGACATTTCATGCACACCCAACAATTCGGTAAAACAGAGATGCAGCTCCGAGATTAGCTCTCACCAAGGAGAGGAGTGGCGCTCTCACTATGGAGAAACTCCAGGGGAGAAAAAGAGCTCAAATTAATTCAGTAAAGTTCCTATTTGACTTTACCTTTGGTCCCCACTTCATTGGACTTGTTTCCAAGAGGTATCATATTGAAAATGAAAAGTGCTAGGGAATGACATATTCGTATATTCTTATTTAATCCTATTGCCTCTCATAATTTCAATGAAGTCCAAAAAAAAGATCTTTGATCGAACTCCTTTTGGTCTCAATTACCCTCTACACAACTCAGTGAGTATCGGGGTCTGCTTCACAGTCATCACCTTTGATCCGAAGCAAATTCCATTTGATTATATATATATATATAGACGAACACCCAGCTCCAACAGTAATCTTAAGTAGAAAGAAGACATGGAAAACAAAGGAGATCACACCTACTTAATAAAACTGCGTAACTATCTTCTGCCATCAACTCTAGATAATGCACTTTTCTACATTATAGCGAAATGACCATGAAAATGTAAAGCCAAATGCATGCAGGTTCTCTTTATTTCCAAGAAATTGCAGATTACTTGATTAATTGCTTGACCTAGTTTTCATCATTGCACAGGTTTGGTACCATATAGCTTCGAGAAAAAACAATAAATTCTAGAGGTAATACTCCACTCAAAGTGCAGTGTGAGGGGATAATACAGAGAAATCCACCTCTGGAGTGGACACATGAATAGTAACCCTTTTGACGTTCTCCATGATGCCCTCCAACATAAATTTTTGTATTAACACGATAGAAGCACAGAGTACATTACACAATATTCATAGTATATTAATAGGTACATCACACTTACTATGCTTTAGTACATGAAACAGTAGACAATTTACTTGCCTCCAATAACTATACCGTGTGTGGTAATTGAGAGAGAGAGAGAGGAAGATCTATCTCTTTATCTCTCGCTCTTGTTGCACCGTTCAGTAATGAAGGAAGATCTCTGTCTTCATTTTAAGATACCATCTTAATAGTTTCATGGTTGTGCAAAACCTAAATGGTGTGTTGGATACTTATAATGGTATAATGGTGTGTTGGATACTTGCACTGGTACGAATTGACTCCACCTTTTGCTACTGCAAGAATAGGTACTTCTGACCTTAGTCTGTGACATAGTGGTAAATGTGTTGTCGAGGTCTGGTTCTTCATGCAGAAGTTTGGTGTGTCTTCTGCAGGACAGATGAACCTCCAAGCTGCATACAGAACTTCGTCAAGAATGAGACACTGACTTGTTTGAAATTTTGAAATATCTGAAGTAAATGGGGTTGGGAAAAGGATTAAACATGTATTTGGGAAAAATTATCTTAGGAAATGTCCAGCACGTATGAAAGGAAGCCAAAATAATAAGTACAGAAATAAATAAAAATTCATTTACTTGAGTCTATACCACAGCAATGCAGAGATTGAGAGAAGTATCTGATGAAAGTAAATGGGGTTGGGAAAAGGATTAAACATGTATTTGGGAAAAATTATCTTAGGAAATGTCCAGCACTTATGAAAGGAAGCTAAAATAATAAGCACAGAAATAAACAGATGTTCATTTTACTTGAGTCTATACCACAGCGATGCAGAGATTGAGCAAAATATGTCTGATGAAATGTCTGGCAATAGTTTACATGACTTACTTGTATTGTGTTTCGTGTGATCCAAACCGAATCGAGGTTGTTGGTGAATGGTCCATTTCCGGAAAGCATCAAGCCATAAATAGACATATTGCCACTAAGGCAAATTCAAGAAAGACCCTCATTTGGGCTATTTCTTTGGCTCAGGAAGCCATTTCTATAGACCTATAGAGCCATAGACCATTTATAGTCAGGTCACATACTCTAAAGACATATGTATCTACGGCTAATTTCTTACCGCATAGACCAATGGGTATGATTCAGAGAAGGTGTTCAGGTTAATGGGTATGATTCAGAGAAGGTGTTCAGGTGTAGAAATTCCATCGTACACTCAAAACTGTAGTGAATCTCACCACCTAAAACACCAAGTTTAGTGAGGTTTAATTTCTGGGTGTAGACGGTTTGTTACGTAAACACAGCCTGAGGTCTTATTCCTGGAGTTGCCGGATAAAAGGTTGGAGTCAGAGTAACGATGATAGGGATATATATATATATATATATATAGGTCCTGTTTGGTAAAATGAGGGATAGGAAGTATGATTGTAATTGAAAAAAATATTAAAAGTCTTTAATATGAGTAATTATTTGTTAGGCAAACCCATGGAGGTAGAATTGAGAAATATCACTTCCCTGTATATTTCTCAATCCCATATAGATAGATTTGCTTAATGTAACAAATAATCTCTCATACTATATATTTTTTTAATAAATATTTTTAATCCCAATCTCAATCCTTATCCTTCATTTTCTATGCTTCATGCTAAACAATACCATAGAAGTTTGGGTAGACTGAGAAACGATGACAAAATATTTGGCAAGGTTTTCACCTATATTTTGTGCTGGTGGAATACCATTTCAAATAAATGATGATCCCTCATAGAAGTAGAAAGAACTGTGTAAGTTGGAGATGATACTGTAGGAAACACTAAATTGTGAAGGGAAAATAAATGGTCCTAGGACATGCCATCACATATAGAGATGGCTGTAAAATGTAGAAGCCACAACATCTCATTTACCAAGTACAATGATACTTACCTGCCCAAAAATGGCAGCAATCAATAGATCATTTTACCCAGTTCAGAGGTTTTGAAGCTCCTACATATTCGTAGGCTTTAGGCACGGCAAGACATGAGGAAGGCTAACATGGGGACAACCCCAGCTACCCAACCTATCACCGTCATGACCAAACTCCCTGAAGCAAAAGCTTTAGCAGTCATCACAGAAAAACCCACTAGGAAACAGAAATGCCCAGCTCTGACAGCTAGAGCTGCAAGCCTTGGCTCAGATTGACCCAGAAAATTTCCTGAGAGAGAAGCTGAAAAGGCAATAACCATGGCAGCTCGAAACAAAGGAGGTAGATCTTGGGATGATCCTGATGGAGGAGAAAACATAAGCGGAAACAGAGCTAGAGCAGCTGGAAAGTAGCCGAAGAATTGTTTCGAAAGGCTTGAGGAATTCTCAGAGTTAAATCTCGCTGCTTCTAGCCCAAAAGAGCTCTCATTCATGTATAAAGGCAGGAGGTAGTCACTAGAATATTGGTTTTGAGCTGATGAGAAGGATCTCATTCCAGTGATGTGGCTAGGTGAGAAGGGTGGCATATCTGTGAAGTAATTACCTCGTGATCGAGATCTTGATGGTGCTAGGATTGTCCAAGACTTACGAAACATTCTATAAAAGGAAACAGAAGGCATGAAAAACAGAGAAAGGAGATCAAACTCACACCTGCTTAAAACAACTCTGCTACTATCTTCTGGTTATCATTTCTGGTTAGTGCAGTTTTCTACTCTATAACGAGGATGATGAGGAAGGATCTAGATAAAGCCAACTCAGGGAGGGATAAGAAATTGACCAAAAGGACCTGATCAATGGCGCCAAAATTGCAGGAACATTATTGTTCATCTGTCTATTCTCATTCCACTCACAATTTCACCCACAACCTCTCTCTCTCTTTGAACACTGTTGGCCCCATATGGCATTACTTCTCTTGCCGCGTTAAAGTAAATATACATACACGATGGTGACATTCATTCAAATGTAATTGGTATATACAGTGATTTATCTCACATTTAGCAATGCTTATTAAATGATAAATATTGAATAAATTATATGTACATTATTTAAATTTCATTAGAATTGTACAGATCTCTTTCCCTTTTTTCCTAAAATATATAGAAATGTTAGTTTCACATTAACTTTAATTTTATCAAGATAGTCACCATTAGCACACGTTTATTTGTTAAAAAAATTGGATGGAAGCGCCAGAGTAGAATATTGTTTTTTTTAATTCACTCTATTTTATTCCCTTGTTAAACAGAAATAATTCATAGTAATAAGTATACTGAAATTTTAAATAAATTAAAAATTATAATACACTAATTTTAAGACATATAATTATTATATCGACCTAATTTGGTAATATCCAACGTCACATACTATAAGATACCATATTAAAACTGTATCAACACACACACACACACACACACAATTCTACAATTCATGTCATCTAATGAATAGTGCATGAGAAAGAAAGTGCTCGGAAGTGTCCTTTTTGGCTATTAAGAATTAAAGCAAACCCACTGTCTTTGACTGGGGGAATGGGAATACCCCAGTTTGTCTGGGGATCTGAACCTCTTGTATTGAAAACCATGTTGCCTTTCTACTATCAAAGAAAATGTATCATTTAATTAAGTAAAGACAATATCTGAGTCGTTTTTTATTTTATTTAACCATATCCATCATCCCCTCTAAACAACTAAAATTAGATCCCACATTCCTTTATTTCTCAACACACCGTTTAGTTTAATGAAGTAACCTTCATCATTATTAGCTAAGCCAATGGCTGAGGCTTTGTTTTCACGTAATTAAACGGTGCATTTCCTTTGGTGGTAGAGAGGCAGCATGTATTTTGGTAGCAGAGCTTCAGAATCAACTGTTTCTCCTATATATGCTTTCTCTTTATCAATCTCACTGCTTATAAAGGGAAGAGGAAAAAGCAAAAGGGCAAGGTGGGGCATTCTTAAGACTTAGGCATTAAGTTGTAATTAACTACACTATCTATGGTCAAATCTCAAAGTCCCTGGAAAAAATTGCAAACAAAAACCCTCAAACATATAAAATTGCAAAATGAACATTTAAATTAATAAAATTGCGATCACATATCGGACCTTAAATGTAAATTATAAAATATTTACAAAAGTCAAAATACCCTTCTGCTTCTTTTTTAATCTCATTCTCTCCTCTCCCCCCCTTCTGCTCTTCCTCTCCTCTTCGTAAATGCATTTCTGTATGACTCAGCAGCAAGCATGATAGAAGCAAGTGCATTGCATTGAGGTGCTACTAGAGTACTGCTATAATCAGTTCTGGGTTTCTTCATAAAGAAAAGAAAATAAAAGTAGTTTATATCAATTTCCTTCTCATTTACTGGGGAGAAGGAAAAAAAATGAAAATGGACGCGAATTGTGAAAAACTCTTGTTGGGCTACGTTTAGATTTGAGACCCACCTTAATAGATAATATATTATGTTATAATAATTTATTTATGATTATAATATGATTCCTCAATTGAAACTAGCCTCAAGGGCAACACAAAATGGGCAACTTGAGGGACTAGTAAGTATGAATTGTGCATTTTGTATTTCAATTTTTAACATGATTTAAATATAATTCGATGATTTAAATTTTATCAATTTTAAGTTAATGTGAACAACTTTTCAACACTTATTATTTTTTATACTAGACTTGTCATTGATAACTAAATTATAAAAATAATGCCAATTTATGACAAAACTTAAGTTAATGTGAATATCTTTTCAATATTTGTTATTTTTCATATTAGACTTATCATTAACAACTAAATTGTGAAAATATTGTCAATTTCTTCTAAAATTTAAGTTATTATGAATAGCTATTCAATACTTATTATTTTCTATGCTAAACTTGTCATTGACAATTAAATTGTGAAGATAATGTTAATTTTTGCTAAAACTTAAATTATTGTGAATAGATTTTTAGCACTTATTATTTTCTATCCTAGACTTGTCATTCACAACCACATTGGCAAAATAAACAAATTTCACACTCTTGCTAATGGTTGACTATAGTTTATAGAATAAGAATAGGCCTTCTCTTGAGGAACAATCCTATCCTTTTTTTTCCCCAATACTTTGTTTTGTAAAAATAAGATCTTCTCAAGCTGTTATTAATTTCCTTTAATATAATTGTCCCTTGCAATCCATCTGTTACTCACTTAGGGGGTGTTTGGATAGAAACCAAACCATGGTTTTAGAAGTGCTTTTACGGATTACGAAGTAAATATGTGGAGGAGGTTACCTCGTTTTGCGGAAAAGTGATTCTGAAACCTAATTTTGGTTTTGCCAAACACCCCCTTAATACACCTTCTCCCATCATGTCCCTCCAAAACCCACCATTCAAAGCTCCTAGACGAATCCCCAAAACCAAATAAGAAAAGCTTCGTCACTTCTCCAATGGAAGCAGCCAAATTTCGTACTTCAAGGTGGGAGATTCGCTCAGCATGCTCTTGAAATGCTTGGCGTGGAGGAAGGGGTTCGGAGCAGACGACGTCGTTCAGGAGGACTTTGGGTTCAAAGAACGCAAAGGAGTTTTCGCCTACATGCAGGGGTATGATAAAGAAAGACACCCTGTTGGCCGACATGGTGATATATGTCAGTATGCAGATGGAGTTTCTGGGAAGAGGATGAGATGGAAGAAAGAGAACAAAAAAGGGATAGTTTGGACTTTTCCTCAATATTTTATAATTCATATTTAAGGTCCAGTTTTTGACAATAATTTTATTAATTCAAGTGTTTATTTTGTAATTTTATACATTTGAGAGTCTTTTTTTGTGATTTTTTCAAGTCCTTCAATTAATCTCTAAGGCTCAGTTTCCCACTGCACAGTTCAGTGCCTACCTTCGGCTCTTCTTCCTAGTCATCATCACCTTCTTTGATCTGACTCTTCCATTATTTAATTAACCATGCAAACGAAAGCCCAATTCTAACAATAATTTTAAGGTAAAAACAAATATAGGTGGCAATACAGGCCAATCTATAACGGGATTGGATCCATATGGATTGGATTAGAAAATGTTGTTTGAAAGCCGGTTGGCTGAACCACCAAGATGGGTTGGTCTGCCAACAATTATTTACCTTTTTTTTAAGAAAAAATTTTGATCTTTCAATATTTTTTCTTATTTAATATCCAACAAAATATAATGAGACTTTTATTTTTTTCTTGAAATATTTGATTGAAAG